TGGGGCACTTCCGATTTCCCGTGACCCGTCGCGCAAATCGCGAAAATCGCGCAAATCGCGCAAAGGATCGCGGACTCTGACATCAGCCACAGGGCGGAGTTGACTACGTCTGATACGCATCTAAACCTTTTCGCATCCGCGTTCGCGCGTGTGGAGATTCTCATGGTCGATACGTATGTAATTCTTTTCGCGAATTCGAATATTCGGATGATTCTAAAACTTTGAACAATGCCTAAGGCTGCTTTCATAGTTGCGGACCGCGCGGACAGGGTGAATAACTTCAACACGCGCTCTGGCGCACGATGCGTACCCGGCACTAACCTCGATTTCGATGCATTTCCTCGATTTTTCGATGTTTGTGAAGATATCTTGCGTTCACTCATGTTTTTTGTTGAGATTTCTTCGTTGTTGCCTTAATCGATATTTTTAAGTTGCACCGAACGAGTCGGCGTGGATTGACTTCGTGTGAACGTGGCTATACGATCCAAGGGTTTTCATGCAGATCATGTGCCGCTATGACCCACTTTTTTCAGACCAAAACGATCGTGAAGAGATGGCGTTACTACGAAACTGATAACATCGCATGGCTTCTAAGAAGTCCTGAACAAGATCAGAAGTACCGTAGCTCTCTGGAAAAACTTCATCACAAGGCCCCCAACTGGAACTAACCCCATTTTTCTTCGGATGATCGTAATCTAGCCCTCGACTTATACCCTTTGATTCGCAACGACTTTCAATCAAGCGAGTTGTGGGAATACTGCAAGACTCCGGCCAATCTTGTAGATTTCACGGAGCTTAGAAAACCCCATATCTGGCTATGCGCTTTTTTGTAAAATTATGTCTTGCCTGAAGGCCCACTTCGGGATCAATTGCATGGTTATATTTCGGTCGAAAATGAAAGAAGAGGCGCGAAATGTACCGATCCTATACCACAGGATGGGGCATAAATATGGTGACAAGATTAACTGCAACAAGTGTATTTACTGAACTGAAGGGTAGGAAGACTCACTGCGCGAAATCCGGCGAATGTTTTGCGCCGACGAACACGAGTTGAAGGATTTTGTGAGTCAGGTGTAAGAAGTGGGACATCCAGCACGACAGAACGGCATCCAATATGCTGCTAAATAGAGGAATTCACTTCCTGTTGCACTGCAGAAACTTCTTACTAGCATATGCTTGATATCCACTCCGCGATCACGAAGTCCCTTGACGCTCATGTTGTAGATATTGATTTGAACATAAGAATTTGCATTTTGCCACATCTCTCTTTTGATATGTGAAAGCATTCTTCCCTTCATCGTTGGAGAACGAGGACAAAGCTACAGAACCTATAAAAGCGAGAATAGCAACAAACGCAAAAATGTGATCATTGCGAGGATAGGCCGCGTTCATACACCTCGATTTAGGAGATCGAGAGATTAAGCGATAGAAGACAAGGGGATTAGGATACAAGGCGTCTGAATCAAAGTTGTATGTACTTATTTAGTCTTTTTAGCGGATATTATCCTGAACTCGATCTCACACTTACATAGATCGCCTTCATACTCCAAGGCACAAGAATATTTCTGCAGAGCGCTTCATATGCCTATCAGCTTGTCTT